AATATGAGCCTTATTTTTGAGTCCAAAACTCCAAATTTCAACCTCCCATTATGCAAGCTCTGTCCAACATGCACCCACAGCGTGAACAGGACGTACATGAATTCATGACTAAGTAAGCTATGGATAGAGACAGAACACCCTTCCCAGAAGTTATACAATTTTTTTTTTTGTAATTTCAGCAAATTTCTGTGTAAAACATTCTGCTCTGAAGAATTTTGCTAAGTTGGAATGCAAAACTTTTAAAGGTATTGCTGGAAACTGATTTTTCTCTTCCGAAATGAAGATTAATTTAGTGCTGGTTCAAACAAACATTAGATCAAATTCCATTTCTCGCTGTTTGTATCTTCAATACATATATTTAAGCACAAATAAGTTTTTACTATAGATTAAGGGTTGCTCTTTCACTATATTTCTCGTACATGCTGATGTTATCTTTGAGGTTTTTAGCTAAATTACTGTAACAGTTTCACAAAATTACCAAGGAATTCCATTGAAACGGGCAACTGAGGCTTGCATAACTGCATCCATCTCTGTTTCAAAACTAAGATAAAAAAGGAAACTTATTGCAAACTCCTTTCATTAGCAGTGTCATTCTGAATTTGAACAGACTTATTTTGAGTTCAAACCAGATTGCTTCAAACATAACTAGGGGTGTTCCAAATATTTCAAAAATATTCCCAGCCCCTCCCCCCAAAGTATTTAATTTTGAAATTCAAAAATATTGGAGATCTCCCTCCCTCCCCACTTTTGCGGTCAATAGGCCATGAGGTGTTGCAAACTCAGCACCACTGGATTTGTACCTCCAACCACACCAGAAGGCTGCCAATAAGATCAGGATGAGCTGTTTTGAACCTGAAACAAAGTGGCATTTCAAGTGCAAAGCATTTTGCACATTTAGTTGTAAGTATAATCTGTTCTATTTAAGTGTGCACACATTTCAACAATATAAACTTGCAATAAATGTCAATGCTGGAAAGTTTTTAGTATTACATCTTTACAAATTCAAATATTTATCGGTTCCCACAGTTTAGTGAGCCAGATAATTAGTTTCGTTATTAATGTCTTGCAGAGCAAAAATAAGAACATATCTAATGAACAACATCATCATCATCGTCATGTTAAGACAGAAACAGGAACACTGACTGGGCAAGATCAGGCTCTCTGCATCTCTTTCTAAGTTACAAATCCAGCCATTGTATTATGCCACTTTATTCCGTAGTTGTACCATCACCTTTTTTGCTTGTCTGCCGTTGACAAATAGTTTGCATTTAATCACTTCCCTACAAATACACCTGGGACTTACTTAGGGAAGTATCATAAGACTTTTTTTTCCCTTTACAAGGTAAAATTTAAGATATTTCACCTCCGAGTGATTTTTTTTCTGTTTCCAGGAAGCTGACAAACTAGGGAAACAAAAGAAATAAAACAAGAGAAATCCTTATGTGGGCTAAGAAATTCTTTCTAAATTAGATGTGAAATGAGTAGGGTAGTTACTGCAATGCTACATTATCATGGGTTTCCACATTGAAGACCTTAAGTTACAGTGGGGGAGGGGGGGAACTGTTTTCCACAGAAGAACATAACAGTGAGCATTCCTAGCAGCTACCCTCAAAGCCTATTTTTCACTTCAGTACAACTAACATTTTATTTTCCTCACAGCCAAAAGCTGTAAAATCTTAATTCTGACAAAACCTAAGTTTACTCTTCCAATTTCTACTCAGGAGCTTTCCAAGGTAGCCACTGGTTGCTTCTAAAAACAAGATTTCAGATTTTTTTTTTAAAAAAACCAAAACACAACAATTTTAGTCTGATTCACCAAAATCTTTCTACCATTTCTCTGAAATACATTATATAGTGTTTCCACTTTTCTTCACCTAAATTAATTCCCATTGTGATATTGCATCATTTTTAAACTGAAAGTTTTACTTCAAGGCTGTCTATATTCAAGGACAGACGATGACTCAGGCAGAAAGTTTAGTTTTAATGTACATATTAAAAGACATATACACACGCACACACACACACAAAATGGTCAGTCTTTCTTTGACAAATGGGCTAGGGGAAATCACTGTAGGGCAACCGGAAGGGGTAGAGTGGACTGTATCGTGAGTCATGCCACAAGAGTTTCTTTTCCAAGAAGGAGATGGTTTCCAAGGTGAGCACCAGGGTTTCATGCTTCAGCATGCTGTGCACATTAAGACCTAGAGATGAAAACAGTTATTTGTCTCCACAGATGAAAAACAGGAAAGAAGCAGTCCTCAGCCCCAGAGTCCCCCAAGGGTTTGTGGACCAGAAATGTTTGGAAACATTGTTGGCACTGGAAGATGCCAGTTACAGAATAGTTTTTAACTGTTTTTATAAAAAATAGTTATATAAAGCTTTTATATTTTATATCTTGTACACCACCCAGAATTGTTTTATGAGGGAGATGAGTGGTTTCTAAATGAGGGAGGGAGGTAGCCTCAGTGAGGCCCTCAACAAAACATAAGGACGAGCAAATGATTACACATGCCTGCTCTTAACGCACTACAAAGACAGGCAGCAAGTAACTCATTCTTCCCGTGTACTGACAAGCCTGACTACTAGAAGTGCTTTTAGGATACTGGCCACAGGAAGGATCAAACCCAAGTTCAAGCACCTTGTAAGATAAGGGCGAAGGTTTGTTCTCTGAGCTTGTGGGTTGGTTTCCAAACCGTTTCATTACCAGGCTAGGTAACATCTTCAGGGCTTTTGTCAGTTCTATTTATAAGGGCTTCAGGTGTGGGACTGTCAAGTGAGGGTCTTGTGATGAGTCATCAGAGTCTTGTGATGGGTCCTGTGAACCCCTCAAAATCCACATCAATCACATAGCTAACTGGAGACAACAATAAACCTCAACCAGCCCACACAAGCCCCCCACCACCAGCAGTTCACCTTCCAATGACCCTGACCTGAGGTAACCTCCCCATCACAAGCCCTTATAAACAGAAGATAACACTGACACAGACATCCCCCTAAAAGCCGCTGAAGATGTTACCTAGTCTTGTAATGAAACTTTTGGAAACCAACCCACAAGCTCGGAGAATGACCCTTCACCCTCATCCTACACAAAAGCTACAGATATTCGCCACTATTGCAAACCTCGTAAGATGTTACTTGGCCTCTCATTGCTGGCTTAAAACAACAGAAAAGGACTAGGAGGGAGGGAGGACACAAGGCACTGGCATTTGCTACAGATGTAACCTGCCCTGGATAATGTAATAGAGGAAGTAGCACTTCAGAGGTGAGGCAAAACGTTTGGAGTGGTAGAAGGAGGTGCTGAAAGTTTCTTTTATTGAAAAAAAATCTTCTTAATAAATCTTTGGTGCTCTCTCATATACAGAGAGACACTCTTTCTGGCAGCAGCCTCCAAGATTTGCAGTTCATAGTTTCAGGCTGCAGGTGTAAACACCAACAGTTTGCAAAAACTAAGAATCAGGCCTTTTTTCTCAGGAGAGGCCAGCAGCCCTGTCATTCTTTTTAAAAAAGAAGGTTTTATGTAAGATGGGATGTATGTTATCAATCCCTTTTATTTCTTGTTAAATCTATAGAGGGGTAACCTGTAGAACAACCCTGAACAATAAAAGAAGCAGGTCATCCCCAAAAGCAGAAAAGGACAAAAGAGTTTTCAGCATCATTCCTGAGACAGGAATTAGTATGCTAGTTAAGAGATTGAGAAGGGAAAAAACACAGGCCTATATAGCTTGAGCAGACAAGGACTCATCTTTTGAAGACCCCAACTCACCTATTGCCGGCACAACTGTAAAAGTTTTAAGGTCGTTTGTTGCAGACTGGATGTTTTCAGGTATTTCATCTCTGAAAGCCAAGAAGGTAGAATCAGGTATGTTATACAAGCTCAGATCTAGGATCGCCTGAATGCTAACATCTAGCCAGTGCCCTCCATTTGTTGGGTAGAAACCCCCCCCCCCCGACTCCTGCCTCAAATCTCTCCCATCTCTGAGCAGTGGGTCAAAAATGAATGGCACATTTCCTTAGCAAAAGAATCCAAGCTTCCTTATGATCGTTTTAAAAGCCTCAGCAAGATATCAGGGTTCTAGAAGAGGGACTAGCAACGGCAGCCAACTTTTAGACCAGAGGTAGTCAACCTTGGCCCTTTTATGACTCGTGGACTTCAACTCCCAGAATTCCTGAGCCAGCTTCTGGGAACTGAAGTCCACAAGTCATAAAAGAGCCAAGGTTGACTATCCCTGCTTTAGAGAAAGGTTCCCAAGGGTTCTCCTGCTCTCCTCCCATCGTACGCCCTGCTTCCTGACGTTCCATTTATTGCCTCTAAGGATGCCCCAATTCTGGAACTTCAGAACAAGGTTGGCGTGCAAACACTCTTATTAGGAAAAAGGGCGATATTTGTTTCAAGGTAGAAAAAGAAATACCAGGCAATTTCATTAATTATACAGCAGGTGCAAGAAGACACCTCCACAGTCAAAAGATGCAGGATTTCTGGCACTCTAAAGGAGTCTTTGTAAAATCAGAAACTTTTACAATGCAACTCTGGGGCGTTTATAACTGGGGGTATTTCAAAACCTGGATTAAATCATAAGGTACATGACTGAAGCAAAAGCCATATGGGGCAGACTGATGTCATGACCTTAAAATATCATATTTGATGTGCTTAGAAAGTAGGCATCCCAAATCAGATCTAGTCCCTGCTCTGCCGCAAACAAGAAATGATTTAATAACAGTCACGAGAATGTTGTACTTAATATAACACGAATGCACCAATCTACAAACTTTTTACTGTGAAAGAAATACATTCATCTGCCAGAAAAGCCCAATGTATTATAACATTTTCTAATATAATTTTAAAGACAGTTTCAGGAATAGGCGTGTTGGGCCTTACAAATACTGTAATCTTTGGGTTACAACGGCCATTGGGGCCATCATTAAGTAATACAGTTGTAAAGCATGATGTTGCATGACTGCGTCCCTTAGGGAAGCAATCCCAGCAGCTGGTGGGTGAGAGCCAAGGACAAGTGGGCACTGCAGAGCATGGGTGGACACCACAAGGTGGCACTATAAGCATGGGGGATTACTGCAGGTGGGCATTATGTAGTGTGAGTGGGCAAATTCCACATGTGCCAGAATACAGGTGGACGGGCAAAAAGGCAGCAGGAGCAGGAATAACTTGCAGGAGCGAGTTGCAACCTCTTGCTAGCTTTCCCATTGACTTCGCTTGTGGGAAGCCAGCAGGGAAGGTCAGAAATGGGGATCACATGGCCACAGGGGGCTGCAACTGTCGTAAGTGGCTACCAAGCTCCCAAATTTGCAACCATGAGACCGTGGGGACACTGAGACGGGTGCAATTTTGAGGACCAAGTGTGAATCACTCTCATTCAATGCCACGGTCACTTTGAACGGCTGCTGAAGGAGTGGTTGTAATCCAAGGAGTATCTGTGCTGTCATCCTTATAGCTCAATGTATTAAATTGCCCCTGTGACTGTCAATTCATGGGAAGACGAATAGCAGTAGACAAACTCCCATTTGAGAGCTTGCAGGGCAACAATAATCTTCTCACTCAGACTCCCACTAGCTAACCTGTGGCTCCCCTGAGATGCAGCTTGAAAACAGATTCACAGGAAAAAAAATTCCATGGCTGAAGAAACCAGTAGTCCTAGATAAAACAAGCTATTTTCCATAGGGTGGCGTGTGTATGTGTATGTGTGCATGCACGCGCGTGCCATCCTTGTTACCTCCCAACCAAAATCAACTCACACATCCACAAACAACACTGATCTTCCCCAATGCCTGTAGCGAGCCAAGTCCGCCAAATACTGAGGATCAAACGTTGGCATCTCTAGAGAGTCCACAATGTGGAGATCACCCTGCAGGTTGGGGGGAAAGAAAAATAAGGACCTCTATATAATCCGGAGACAGGTGAACTATTCCACCAGAAACCCTATTTCTGGAACCATTTGGGAATGAAAGAAAAAGGCTTCAGATTCAGGCTTCAACACTCCTGCCCATTAAAAGCTTCCATATTCCCCCCAGTCAATCAATCAGTTCAGCCAAAATATGGCAACACACTCCTGAGGCGTAAACTAAGCTGCACGCTCCTTCTCCAAAACCCCTTGCTCTCCTTCTTAACTCAAGATTTCTGTGCAAAAGCATGCAGAATATTTGAAATATCCGAAACCTTTGAGAACTTGCATCAATTTAAATGTAGAATGCTTAGAAAATAATTCAGCAAAAATGCTCGAAACCAAGTAGTATATTCTCTACCACTCGTTAACAGAGCCCATCAGTTCTCTTCCTCCTCTGCCCGCCTGACATAGCAGCTGCTTTGAAAGTTGCCTTTTAACTTTAACACGTAGATCCCTTAAGGCAGATGGGAGTGTTTCTCAGGCATACGCAAATGCCCATTTTAATTAATTGCAGTGGACTCATGAGAGGCCCAAAACATTTCTGGACTGTGCAGAGAGCTGGTAAAGGGAGCGTTCAAACCCCCTACTAGTACTCCCTACTAAAGGGAGCATCCATTGGAAAACTAGCTAGGAATCAACCCATAAGCAGACCAGGACAGAACAGGCCTTCGCACTGCAATACGGCTCTCGTACCTGCATCTGCTTGGCTGTCAGCGCCACCTTGAGGCCGAGGACCCGCTGTTTCATGGGAAGCATATAGTAATAGCTGGTGGGGCCACGGGGGCCAAAAGCCCTACCACCTAGAAGGAAAACAAGGAAGAGTCAGAGAAACTCAAAGAGCTGCCTGCCAGAGTGCCACTCTTACACAACTGGGCTGGATGTGAGCAGCAGAACCAAGGGGGCAGGGTGATGTTGGGGTTCAAGAACAGGGCTCAAACTGGAGAAACGCTGGCTCAAGGCCACCCTCAGCCACTGAAACTCACTGGGTACGTGTGGCCAGTCACCTACTCTCTGGCCATGTACTCCACCAGGCTGTTATGAGAAATGAGAGTGCCATGTGATGTTGCCTCCAGGATGCACACTGTACAAAGGTGGTTCTCATTTAACAACCACAAGTTTGAACTGGAAGGTTCTAAGAAAGTAGTACTTTCTCGTATTTATGGCCACTGCGGTGTCCCTGTAGTCACGTGATCCAGGCCCCTGGCTCACAACGACCACACATCACTCCATCCCTTGCAGCCACCCATTTGCAGCCTCCTTTGCCGGCTTCCTACACGCAAAGTCAGCGGGGGAAAGCTTGCAGAAGGTCACAAATGGCAGCTTAACAATATCAAAGGAGTCACTTAATGATGGCAACTGGAAGTGCTAGAATTTCTGTCATTAAGCAGCACAATCATGTGACATCAGGCTTTACGACATCACTTAGTAATAGGAATTCCAGTCCCAATTGCCTTTTTTAAGTGAGGACTATCTGGACTGCCTTGAGCTCTGGAGGAAAGAAAATGACAAACAGACAAAATTAATGGCGGCTTTTATAATGTGCCGAGAAAAATCAGAGGAAACAAATCATTTCACCTTTCTGATCAAAAACCATGAAACGGGTTCAGGTTTCATGGCTTATGTATTTCAGGCGTATGTATTTCTAGTTCTTTAAAACATTTTTAACCAAACAAAGACTCCCCCAGGGGCCTATTTACAAAAGCAAAAAGACACAAACATTCTCATTCCTGTCTGCAGGAAAGCTGTGAAATCAAAAGAAAACTTGCAGAAATGAAAAAAGGCAAGGCAAGAAGCAATGTTTACCTCAAAACAATATGTCTTACAAAACTAGATACAATCTGTTTTGTGTTCCTCTGTGTGGTCTGATGTAATGGCCACATGCCCACCCACTTTATTACAAGAAATGGGAAGAGCTGAGAGCCAGAGATAGAACTTTTCACACACCTCCATGCCATATAGGTGATCGGATACTGCCATGCCGGGCCCTACCCGAGCCCTTCTGCCTCCAGGGTTTCCTACCACCACCATGCATCTCAGCACGTGTCTTGGTCTTGGCATAACTCTGGAAATGAAAAGTAAGATCTGAGACTAAAGCTGGAGCAGGGTGTGTCAGAAAGTTCACCAGAGTGTTCCATGAAGTTCCTGCTTCTCATTTCACTCACTCTCTCATGATTTTACATGGGTTAAACCAAATTTGAACCAGGGACTCCCCATAGCAGCTTCTTCAGATAACTTCAACCTTTTTCTTTTACTCCCAAGTATTAGGAAATGTTTACAATTACGGCAGAATCATCAATCTGACACACAATTTCTGTATCTATACAGAGCAGGGTGACTCTGTTCACCGCCAGGAGTTTAATCCTGACTGGCTCGAGGTGGACTCAGCCTTCCATCCTTCGGAGGTCGATAAAATGAGGACCCAGACTGTTGGGACCAGTATGCTGACTCTATAAACTGCTTAGAGAGGGCTGGTAAAGGACTATGGAGCGGTATATAAGTCTAAGCCCTGTTGCTATAAAAAGGACTTCCTAAGCACGCAATCATTATGGTAGTTGTCCCTTTTAATATTTTGTGCTGCACAATTATGGTATATGCAGTTTTACAGAATAACAACCCTCAAGAACTCCTGCAACTCCTGCAAAAATCAACCAACGATAATGGAATTTCACAAGGTAGAAATGTAGGCGTTACTAAATTATATTCTACAAGACCCGCCACTCTCAGTATCAAAGGCCATTTATGATTTGAGGAAGAAATAATCGTTTTCTGGGATTCCATTTTCTAAGGCTAAGATTCCATTTTCTAAGGTTTTGCTCCAAATGGGAAATCAAGTCACCTCTGCTCCTGCTACTTTTTCACCCATTCATCTGCACTCTGGCACATGTGGCACTTGCCTGTATCCTCATCTTAATGCCCAGAAAATGAACAGGTGTGTGATCTTTATGGCTGCAAAGCAAGCCATAGCTATTGACAGGGACAAGTCAACTAGTTTTCCAGTGCTTGTGGACTGATATTCAATGCTCTTAACTGTAATTGGTTAAGAATGGTGAGAGCCATGGCACATTTGTGCTTTCTTTGGAGTGGGAGAAATATAAGGCTACTTAGATATCCAGCTTTATCCTGGAGGACTGTCTGGGTATGGCAGCACTTTTCTTGCAGAGGTGCCCCTCTAAGCCTATTGCAGACATCTCTCTGAACAGATAACCTCAGGTACAACTTGA